TGCTTACATCATTATATGCTTACCCCGTTACATGCTTACACCGTTATATGCTTACATAAATATATGCTTACACCGTCACATGCTTACATTGTTATATGCTTACATCATTATATGCTTACACCATTACATGCTTATATTGTTATATGCTTACATTGTTATATGCTAACATCATTATATGCTTACATTGTTATATGCTTACATTGTTATATGCTTACATCATTATATGTGTCTCCCTCCAGTGATTATCAGTGAAGGTATACCTACAAAGCCTTATCCTGTGTATCTCCTACAGTGATTACATAAGGTACTTATCCTTATCCTGTGTATCTCCCTGTTATCAGTGATTATATAAGGTATACCTACAAAGCCTTATCCCATGTATCTCCCTGTTATCAGTGATTATATAAGGTATACCTACAAAGCCTTATCCTGTGTATCTCCCTGTTATCAGTGATTATATAAGGTATACCTACAAAGCCTTATCCCATGTATCTCCCTGTTATCAGTGATTATATAAGGTATACCTACAAAGCCTTATCCCATGTATCTCCCTGTTATCAGTGATTATATAAGGTATACCTACAAAGCCTTATCCTGTGTATCTCCCTATTATCAGTGATTACATAAGGTACGCCTACAAAGCCTTATCCCGTGTATCTCCCTATTATCAGTGATTATATAAGGTACACCTACAAAGCCTTATCCTGTGTATCTCCCTATTATCAGTGATTATATAAGGTACACCTACAAAGCCTTATCCTGTGTATCTCCCTATTATCAGTGATTATATAAGGTACACCTACAAAGCCTTATCCTGTGTATCTCCCTATTATCAGTGATTATATAAGGTACACCTACAAAGCCTTATCCCATGTATCTCCCTGTTATCAGTGATTATATAAGGTACACCTACAAAGCCTTATCCTGTGTATCTCCCTATTATCAGTGATTACATAAGGTATCCTGTATCTCCCTGTTATCAGTGATTATATAAGGTATGCCTACAAAGCCTTATCCTGTGTATCTCCCTGTTATCAGTGATTATATAAGGTACACCTACAAAGCCTTATCCTGTGTATCTCCCTATTATCAGTGATTATATAAGGTACACCTACAAAGCCTTATCCCATGTATCTCCCTGTTATCAGTGATTATATAAGGTACACCTACAAAGCCTTATCCTGTGTATCTCCCTATTATCAGTGATTATATAAGGTACACCTACAAAGCCTTATCCTGTGTATCTCCCTATTATCAGTGATTATATAAGGTACACCAACAAAGCCTTATCAAAGCCTTATCCCATGTATCTCCCTGTTATCAGTGATTATATAAGGTATACCTACAAAGCCTTATCCCGTGTATCTCCCTATTATCAGTGATTACATAAGGTATGCCTACAAAGCCTTATCCCATGTATCTCCCTGTTATCAGTGATTATATAAGGTACGCCTACAAAGCCTTATCCTGTGTATCTCCCTATTATCAGTGATTATATAAGGTACGGCTACAAAGCCTTATCCCATGTATCTCCCTGTTATCAGTGATTATATAAGGTATCCTGTGTACCTACAAAGCCTTATCCTGTGTATCTCCCTGTTATCAGTGATTATATAAGGTACACCTACAAAGCCTTATCCTGTGTATCTCCCTATTATCAGTGATTATATAAGGTATGCCTACAAAGCCTTATCCCATGTATCTCCCTGTTATCAGTGATTATATAAGGTATACCTACAAAGCCTTATCCTGTGTATCTCCCTGTTATCAGTGATTATATAAGGTACACCTACAAAGCCTTATCCTGTGTATCTCCCTGTTATCAGTGATTATATAAGGTATACCTACAAAGCCTTATCCTGTGTATCTCCCTATTATCAGTGATTACATAAGGTATGCCTACAAAGCCTTATCCTGTGTATCTCCCTATTATCAGTGATTATATAAGGTACGCCTACAAAGCCTTATCCCATGTATCTCCCTGTTATCAGTGATTATATAAGGTATACCTACAAAGCCTTATCCCGTGTATCTCCCTATTATCAGTGATTACATAAGGTACACCTACAAAGCCTTATCCTGTGTATCTCCCTATTATCAGTGATTATATAAGGTACGCCTACAAAGCCTTATCCTGTGTATCTCCCTATTATCAGTGATTACATAAGGTATACCTACAAAGCCTTATCCTGTGTATCTCCCTATTATCAGTGATTATATAAGGTACACCTACAAAGCCTTATCCTGTGTATCTCCCTATTATCAGTGATTATATAAGGTATACCTACAAAGCCTTATCCTGTGTATCTCCCTGTTATCAGTGATTATATAAGGTACACCTACAAAGCCTTATCCTGTGTATCTCCCTATTATCAGTGATTATATAAGGTATACCTACAAAGCCTTATCCTGTGTATCTCCCTATTATCAGTGATTATATAAGGTACACCTACAAAGCCTTATCCTGTGTATCTCCCTATTATCAGTGATTATATAAGGTACGCCTACAAAGCCTTATCCCATGTATCTCCCTGTTATCAGTGATTATATAAGGTATACCTACAAAGCCTTATCCTGTGTATCTCCCTATTATCAGTGATTATATAAGGTATACCTACAAAGCCTTATCCCATGTATCTCCCTATTATCAGTGATTATATAAGGTATACCTACAAAGCCTTATCCTGTGTATCTCCCTATTATCAGTGATTATATAAGGTATGCCTACAAAGCCTTATCCCATGTATCTCCCTATTATCAGTGATTATATAAGGTATACCTACAAAGCCTTATCCTGTGTGTATCCCTGTTATCAGTGTAATATAAGACACCTCTACGAACGTACAGCTATATTGATCAGTGTTGATAGTGCAGCGTGACACAGTTGTTATACAAACAGTCCATTACCTCCAGAATGTCTTTACATGTCAGCATACACCTCATTATTGGGTACATAACCACTAATAAATGTTCAAAGCCTGGGATTTCGTAGTTAGAGTGGTGTCTTGACAAATCAAAAAATCTTTTTAATTATGTTGTGCAGCATTGCCATTATTTACAAGTTTTGTCTTGGATATAGAGAATCTCACCCAAGTGATATCAATTATATCAACACAAGTTGATAAAGTTACAAATATCCAAAGCTTGCTGAGTATATTTTCACTTTTATCAGCAAGTGTTGATATATTTAATATCAGAAGACACGAGGGTGAGATTCTATGTGTCATCAAAAATCACTCTTCATTTGTTTTTAATGAAAATTGTACATCTTTGAACATGATACTATCATTAGACTTGCAGTTTAGCGATGTCATAGTATTGTGATGTTATCAAGTTCATGACGTCATACCATTGTCAGAGCATTGTACAAAATCCACTGTCAAAACGATATCTCCTAGGAGATATGTATCATCTCACACAAGCAATATCTCTTGTGGATCACAGTTTTGGATGATAAAATGTTTTATCTCATAAGTCCTGACTCCTAACAACTCTTCGAGAACATTTTACAGTAGCCCCCTGTCAACAGGAGACACAAGCAACTATAGTACTGTCGGAAATAGACAAAAACTGTTTTTAGGCTGTTACTCTGTATCCCTAAAATTTACTCAAGTCAATTGCAAATAGCATATGTCGAAATAACCCAATTCGGCCTAACTGGGCGTTCTGTGGGATGCGTAATACGATATCCAGAAAAGCATGTTTTACTCGTAAAATCGAGCAAATCTTAGAAAAAATACGAACAGCTGCTGAAAACAATAGATCAGACTATAGATGGCAATTAGGTCGCTCAGCCAGGTATGATGACGGACCGTCGACTCACCTGGCATGAAATGCACGTGCTGCCTACAGGCACAAGGGGTCATCACAAAGATGTTTTGTGCTTTTTCATGTGTGTTGACTATGTCTCATCTATTGATTAACATCTTACGTGTGTTTCTTTCATATAGTTTCATATAGTTTATGTTGAGATATGTGAAAGAGTATGATACCCAAAAACCATAGAAATGCATCGTAGTATATAGGTGGCATGACCACCCGAAGATCGACAGGACTGGATAATATTTGTAAATTGTTATGACGTGCCGTGTACCTCCCCAGTATAATTGCCCTACAGGATTATCTTATCTTAGCTGATATCTCTATCCCCAAGCCCGACCCCAGGTTTTGCTTTTGAGACGACCCCTCCTATCTGTTTCTTTTTATAGTGACAGTGAGACTGCATGGTAGCTACATCCTGAATAGTTTCAGCATAAAAGTTATTATTTTCTACGTCAGCTATCGTTTATAATGAATCTACGTCTAATTTCAAATTGGGCATTTAAAAAGTGTCCTTTGTAATACAATATCATCGCACACTAATTTGCATAAAGCCATGGTCTGTTCCAAATAAGTCTTTTTGGACGTAGAAAAAAAACGCATTGCTCATTTCTGCACCAATTTACCCTCAGTAAATCCCTTTTTCTCCGTTTCCTATCTCTCTACCACCGAGACTGTAGTTAGGCCCAACTTAGTTTAACAGATATTTCACACTTTCACATATCAACTACATACATTGTAGAGATAAATGAGAAAATACAGTTTTTATCTATTTTCGACAGTACTATAACATACATTTATATAAAACAAGTAGTGAGTGAGTGAGTGAGTGAGTGAGTGAGTGAGTGAGTGAGTGAGTGAGTGAGTGGTAGTGAGTGAGTGGTGAGTGAGTGAGTGAGTGAGGAGTGAGTGAGTATGGTTCAATGGTTTAATGCCGCTTTTGGCAATATTCTAGCAATATTCCAGCAATATACCGGCGGGGGGACACCAGAAATGGACTTCACACAATGTACTTATGAGGGAATGGAACCCAGGTCCTCAGTATGACGAGAAACGCTGGAAACACCTGGCTGCCCCACCACCCCAAACACAGCCAGGACCTCTGGGAAATGACCATGACTACAGAAGAACATAGAGGAGTGACCATGACCTCTGACCTATAGGATATCAAAGAAGCTTACCTTGCCAGTTATCAGTATTTTCATCTCCAGTCTGTTCACGACTCAAATCAAAATCATCTGACTGACGTGACGAACATCGAGATACATGTGAACTTGGACTCTGAAAAATACAAACACTGGTAGATGCATTAAGTGAATTAGTTATAAACCAGCTGCTATCTTAAATTTATGAATATATTTGCATTTTCTAAAAAATCAGAGATTTTTTATGGACAAATCGGAGATTGGTTTTTGTATTTGAAAATTGGAGTAACTCCTTCAAAATCGGAGTGGTTGAGTGGCTGGCATCTCTGGGGCTGGCGTAGTTGAAGAACGCAATCCTCTTCTCTACATTAAATAAACTCCATGTCCAACAGACACTATCCACTACACCAGGACACAAGTGGACGGGGATCAAACCATTCTTTGAGCAGACACACTATCCACTACATTAGGACACAGGTGGATGGGGATTGAACCACTCTTTGAGCAGACACACTATCCACTACACCAAGACACAAGTGGATGGGGGTCAAACAATTCTCTGAGCAGACACACTATCCACTACACTAGGACACAAGTGGACGGGGATTGAACCACTCTTTGAGCAGACACACTATCCACTACACCAGGACACAGGAGAATGGGGATTGAACCACTCTTTGATTAAACACACTATCCACTACTCCAGGACACAAGTGGATGGGGATTGAACCATTCTTTGAGCAGACACACTATCCACTACACCAGGACACAGGTGCATGGGGATTGAACCATTCTTTGAGCAGACACACTATCCACTACTCCAGGACACAAGTGGATGGGGATTGAACCACTCTTTGAGCAGACACACTATCCACTACACCAGGACACAGGTGGATGGGGATTGAACCATTCTTTGAGCAGACACACTACCCACTACACCAGGAGACAAGTGGACAGGGGATTGAAATATTCTTTGAGCAGACACACTATCCACTACACCAGGACACAGGTGGATGGGGATTGAACCATTCTTTGAGTAGACACACTATCCACCCAGGACACAGGTGGACAGGGGATTGAAATATTCTTTGAGCAGACATACTATCCACTACTCCAGGACACAGGTGGACGGGGATTGAACCACTCTTTGAGCAGACACACTATCCACTACACCAGGACACAGGTGGATGGGGATTGAACAATTCTTTGAGCAGACACACTATCCACTACACCAGGACACAGGTGGATGGGGATTGAACCATTCTTTGAGCAGACACACTACCCACTACACCAGGAGACAAGTGGACAGGGGATTGAAATATTCTTTGAGCAGACACACTATCCACTACACTAGGACACAGGTGGACAGGGATTGAACCACTCTTTGAGCAAACACACTACCCACTACACCAGGACACAGGTGGACGGGGATTGAACCACTCTTTGAGCAGACACACTACCCACTACACCAGGACACAGGTGGACGGGGATTGAACCACTCTCGAGCAGACACTACCCACTACACCAGGACACAGGTGGACGGGGATTGAACCACTCTTTGAGCAGACACACTACCCACTACACCAGGGCTGAGATTGTCCTCTAGCCGTATGGTAAATCCTACTTCAAGGATAACATATCGATCAATACAGAAATAGATCTAAGGTCAGCTTGACCCTGTAGCCATGACGCTACCCAGCACCCTGTGTGTAGATGTCTGGCACTGTTACAGTGCCACCATACTTGTGGGGTAACGTTTACAATCTCACAAAGCGAGGTCAAATAGTCCAGATAAACACTACCCCAACCCCCCACCCCCGCCCACACACACACACACACACACACACACAGATGCCTAAAAACTCACTGCATTACATATTGACACCCTCTTTAACATGTCGAACACCAGTGGATTCCAACAACACTTTCATGTCTTCAATATAAGGGACCATTCATTTTTTATGGCCATGGGGGGCGATGAAGATTTTTATGGAGAAGCATGTACAATGTGAATGACCCTCAACCCCACTCACCTAAATTTATGTACAAAGCAAGTGAATAATCATGTACAAAAATCAATGATTCCCACTAAGCATATCTATTCATATTATATGTACAAACTTGCTGACCCTCCCCAGAACACAATAGGTGCCCACTAGGGCTGCAACGTATACACCATGTGGCGAATATGATATGTATCATGAATATTGGGTAATGAATACGAATAATTATTCACGAATACAATATTGTTGTTAAGTTATTTATGCACAACATGGACGCCCATGTTGACAGTGTTAATTTGTCACAGCAATAACCAGTGATCTCCTGACACTAAAAATTTGGTACGTAATAGTTAATCAACAGTACCATGTGCGGCCTTGGCAAACTCACATGAATTGCGCTACTGCAAGGCTAGTACATATTCTATTCTTGCATATCTCACTTTCCAAAAGTACACAAGGGTTCAAGTAACACGTGCTCCCTTAAATTTTTTTCGTAAATATACGTTAATATTCGGTTCTGGTTACCACGAATAACGAATTGAATTCATGAAGGGCTACGGTTCAATTCAACGAATATGCGAGTGAATTGTTACAGCCTTAGTGACCACCTCTTAAAATCATTATCACCCCCCTGAGCCATAAATTAAGAATGGTCCCTAACTAACTCTTCTGTCTTTAAACTGACAGAGGGCTCTCGGATGTGAAGGTTGTCAGATTTTCCACATCATGAAGACCTCACTGGCAAATATGTCCGCACTGCACCCTATGTATTATTATTATTATTATGTTTTACAGATTAAAGATGAAAATGCAGCAGAGAGGGTTCGGGTGATCCTGGCACAGTCAGGCTGGTAAGGCTCTTCATAAGCTCAGGACCTTCGCACCCGCTACACGCAGCCCAGACAGCGAATGAGACTTCTCCCAGGAAACACTGCCTAGTCGAACCCACCAAGAACTTTCTGGAGAATATGAAGGCTCCCCAACACTGCAGCCTTCTGCATTACCCAGGGTGTCAGAAGGGCTGTGCTCCCGGTGGAGAACCCAGGCACTCTGATGATCTGCGCCAAGAGATCAGGAGGTACCAAACCAAGGGCACCGAGAACAATGGGGAGCCTGACGACAGTGTACCTGGGATGCAAGCGAGACATTTCAAAGGCGAGGTCCGCATATTTATCATGCTGTTCCTGAATCTTGCCAATCACGTTGCTGTCAGAAGGGACAGAAAATGCAATGATATAAATAAATTCATTGGCTTTATCAAAAAGGACAAGATCAGGTTTGTTGGCAACAATTCTTCTGACGCTGTATATGGGCCTATTCCACAGCAGTTTGGAAGCATTATTTTCCATGAGGCCCTGGACATGTTCAGGATCATAGGAGTCAAAGCCACAGGCATGGCGAAGACGGTAATAAAAGCAGCGAGCCATGCCATCATGTCTCTTAAGATATGCTGTTTGTGCCAAGGAAGGGCATCCACTGACAAGGTTCACATTTGAGACCAGCCGACTTCATCCAGGCGAAGGAGTTGGTGGGATGGCTATTCTGTTCCACACACTACATGTACACACAATGGAATGGCTTCTCAGAAAGCTTCTCCACAAAAGACCGACTCTGGGCAGACTTGGCGAATAACTTCACCTGGTTTACTCCCATCACTGTACCGTCCAGCAGTAAAACGTCTTTAGCAAAATCAACCACAAATTTCAGATTTTGTCCAACAACCTTAAATAGCTGTGGAATTCCTTGCTTTCATCATGAGTCACCAGAGGATCATCCGATAAATAAATATGTGCAAAAGTACACAATAAAATTCTATCATGATGAGCCTCCACATTAATCAAACCCCCGACCTCCAGAATTGATAGGCATATATAAACGGTTGAGAGAGGAACGAGGGTGGTGGGATCTGTTATCAGACATGATCCTTCTGGTCAGGCGGTCAAGACTCTGGAAGTCTTGTTTTGTCCAATCAACTACTCCAAAAGAATAGGAAAGGACTGGCACAGCAAAAGTATTGGTGGCTTTGACCTTGTTTCGAGCGTTTAGCTCTGAGCTCCAGATTTTCTTTAAGCGAGATTTGTACTCGGCCCGAAGTTTATCTTGAATTTGGGCATTCTGGAGCTTGTCTCGAACTTGCATTCCAAGACAGGTGTAGGCCTGATCTTCCACAAGATGTTCAATAACTCCTCCCCCCTTGTAACCAGACCGATCCACCATTAACTACCTTGCCACGTTTAAAATGAAGAGGGGGCGGTGGGGTAGCCTAATGGTTAAAGCGTCCGCTCAACATGCTGAAGACCCGGGTTCGATTCCCCACATGGGTGCAATGTGTGAAGCCCATTTCTCGTGTCCCCCCGCCGTGATATTGCTGGAATATTGCTAAAAGCGGCGTAAAACCATACTCACTCACTCACTCAAATGAAGAGCATTACATTTGTCGAGTCCAAATGTCATGCCAATCTCATTAGAAAAGGACTCGACAAGGAGAACCTGTTCTTTCAAATTGGTATCTCCTTTGGCAAGGAGCTCGATGCCATCCATGTAAAGGAGATGAGTAAGAGGTGTTGGGGATCTGTGCTGAGGAGGTCCAAGATGGTAACCCTCCTCTTTATTGAGCAGAAAGCTCAAATGATTTAGAGATAAACAAAAAAGCAAACGACAGAAGGAGTCCCCCTGGAAAATTCCCCTTCTGATTGGAATAGATTCTGAAGTCTGCACCTGCCCGTGCAAGTACATCTCAAGTTGAGTCGACCAGCAACTCATTAAAGACTTGAGTAAATCAAGTAGTCGCTCCGAGAGGTCAACACAACGAAGAGACTTCTGAATCCATTCATGAGGGACAGAGTCGTATGCTTGTTTGTAGTCAATCCAGCACATGGAGAGGTTGCGGTGATATGTTTTAGCCTCTTCCAAAATCATTTTCTGTACAAGAAGTTGATCCTTGCACCATCCACACCCCATTCTTGCTCCCTTCTGCTCTCTGTAAATTATATCATTGGAAGAGCAGTTATTACCATTATTACTATTATTATGGGATATTTATGTAGCGCATATATCCACACAACCAGTACATGCTCAAGGCGCTGGTAAGTAGTTCCCTCGATGGTTGGATGTCAATCTCCACCGTATTATC